ATCTCACAGGTGCCATTCCACCTGAGGCTTGCGTATGGTAGGGAATCTGTCTGTTCTTAACATTTAAACTTGATGAATACTACTAGAATGAATAAAGAAAGCCAGACTGTGCTTGCTAGGTCAAAGAAGAGAAGTTTATTGGGAACAAACTTGCCATAAGACTTAACATGTAAGATGGAAAGCGACGTTGTAAGAACGATCTGAGCTCAGTAGATGAGTCTCAGTCTCCACTCAGCTTCTGGTTGACCTGTGGTCTTGACGGCGCAGCACAGGAAGTTTGGCAGAGAAATGGAATGTGACTTTTACAGAAGGCGGCACACTTGCGTAGGCGGTTTGCCAAGGATTAGAATCACTGCCCTAAAAACAACCTGCTTTTCTCCGCGCTTCATTAAAGGCTGCGCATGCGCTCAGGCTCGGCGCTCCGGCCTGGGCTTTCGGGTTTCAGCAGGAGCAGCAGGGCGACGACCTGCAGGTGGTGCGGCAGGGCGCAGGCTGGCAGCAGGGCGGGCGGCAGCAGGGCGCCTGCACCAGGATGGGCTGGCAGCAGGTGGACGCCCAGCAGCAGGGCCGGCACACCACGGCCGTGCAGGACGTGGGGCAGCAGGCGATGGGGCGGCAGCAGCCCTCCTGCAGGCCGCAAGGGTCGCAGCACACGGGGCGGCGGCAGGGCTCGCAGATGGGGCGCGTGCAGTGGGGCACGCAGGTCACGGGGCGGCACACGGTGGTCTGGCAGGACACGGGGCGGCAGCAGCAGGGGTCGCGGCAGCAGCAGGGCTGGCAGCAGGGCTGGCAGCAGCTCGGGGCGGAGCAGGCGGAGCCGCAGCAGGAGCCGGTCATGGCGGAGGCGGGGCTGGTGGGTGGGGCTGGTGGCTGAAGTGGGGTGTGCAGGTGTGAATGTCTCCTCTACCCGAGGGGCCCTTTATATACCCTGGGCAGTGGGCAGGTGCTGATGACCCCTCTTGTTTATCTTTTGGCCAATTAAGTGGAATTTTGTTTTGACTAATGGTTGCATTGTTGGTAACAGACTCATTGTTTCATTAAAGAATTCTTTTTCCATCCCTAAATGGGGATGTATGTAAGTTGTTCATCATCAATATCTAAGAACAGACAACGAGATAACAGTTCTTGATCTTTATTTGGAATGGATAGTGCCTGATGAATCTTGGACAAATGCTTCTAAAGGGACTATATAATTAAAAATTATAGGGCGCTAACTGGTTCCCGTCCTTGGCCCTCCCACCCCCCACCCTCCTGAGATCTACTGAAGAACCCACGTTGACTCACACAGCAGTTAGCTGTCCTTCCTGTGGGCTCCATGGGAATGTATTTACATATCACGTGATCCAGTGGAATGTAGCCTATGCCTTGAATAGCATGGGATGCTTGAATGGGAAAGCCACAAGTCCATTTTTGTGTTACTCTGGTGCCCTATAAATTCTAAATTTTGTTTCTAGAATGTAGATGAGCATATTTGATATGGTAGATGGCCAGTTCTCTGCTCAGTCACTGCTGAATACATAACAATAACATTATTCAGTGGTGAGTTACATTAGTTGAAATGGAATAGAATAGAAGAATCTGGAAGGAAGACAGAGAACTCCCTCTCTGAACAGCATTTTCTGCAGGTGGAGTCAGGCTGTTGTTTTAGAACCCAGGAGAATACATGTCAGAATTATGGCACAAACCTAAGCGAGCCCCCAACGCCAATGCAACACAGAGTGATGTCTTAGAAAAATATCCTTAAGCCTTAAAACTAGCTTAGACAGGTTTCTAGTAGTGACAAATAACATGTTTTGGATAACGAGTTCCTTTATTTAATAATATCATTCAACAATTACAGTCTGAACAAGTTTCATCATGAAATACGTTGTTTTGTGTTTTCTCAATTTTCAACTGTTGATACAGATGAAGGAAAACAATTCTATGTGCAATCTGAAACAACGAGCCATTTAAAAAATATTTAGCTTGGCACCGATCAAAAGTGCATCTTACTTTATGCAATGGAGATGATTCTGAAACAAGCATTAAATGTTTAATAATTGAATCATGTTTTGAAGCTGTCAGAGAAGTCCACTATGGATAACATGGCGACATGCTCTTCCATAGATATTAAAGTTCTGTGGGAGTTCTAGCTGTTGCTGTTGTAACTTTTTACCAAACTGATGTGCATTTACTTCCTTAAAATAAAATACATCTGGCCCTCCCTGGTGGCGCAGCGGGTTAAAGCACAGCACTGAGAATCTGAAGCCACTTCCGCATGAGTTCGATTCCCGCCTGCCGCCTGCCCCGGAGGAGACCACATGGCGAGCCATGTGGTCTCCTGACCCGCCCGCTGCTTCCCTCAGCAGTGTACTTCGTCGATCTGCCTGTTCTGCTCCCCACTCTGTCTCTGGTGAAGCCTCTCACCGCCCCTGAGCCTCTGGTCTGTACCCCAGTTCTGTATGAATAAATAAATTTAAAAAAAAAATACATCTGAATTTCAAAAATATGTCATCAAGAGAAATATAAAGAAGAAAATATGTATTTAATAAGATAGATTTTGTTGCATAATACTCCAGCTGTGTTTTCTAAGCATAAACACACCCTGACATACTTTTTCTCAGTTATTTAATATTTTACAGGGCCCTCATATTTTATATAAATATATGACAACAATGATGTTTATTAATAGATTTATAATCTTAGACAGAACAATTATATGTTTATTAATAGATTTATAATCTTTAACTATTTTTGGTATTTCCTTTCTGCTGATATTATGCTTATATTTTGTCCTATTGGTTTTTTTTCTTCTCCTCTTATCTCCCTGAGTATATTATAACCTACATGAAGCCAGAGACCTCGCTCATTCTGTTACACTCCCTGAGGGTCAGCTCAGGGTTGTACTCACAGAAGATATCCAATAAACAATCAACATGTGGACTGGTGGTAATGGATTAATTTGCTGAAAAAATGCCACTAAAGTCCAATTCCTGAGCGCAGGTATAAGCAGCCCTTGAGAGTCAGTGAATTAAAATCCACAAGCGTCACCCTCATGCCTGTCATCCTAAGTAGCAAGCAGAGCCACAGCACTGAAAGGAAGCATTGACCAAGACAGCAGCTATTCTTGGACACAAAAGACCAAAAACATCATGTTTTGGGACATCATATAATAATGAGAGAAAGTGTTTGGTTTAAAGTCTCCATGCCTTGTGGGGGAGGTGGGTTGCCTCTCCCTGGGTCTTTTCTGGACACCTGTGATTTTAATTAGTTATATTTATAGTCATAGTAAATTTACTAATACCTTCATTGCTTGTTTTTCTTCAAAAACAGGCTACTGGTCTGCTATCACCTAACATTTTCCATCACTACCAAGCCAGGCTGCTGGGTGCTGGCTTAGTAAAGGGGCTGTCAGACCAGAAGCAACAGGTGTCAGTACAATCTCCTCACACTGAGAGACACTACTCGGGCGCCGGGCTGTGTCTGGATTCACAGGCACGGTGGCTCTGAGGATGCTGTCGCTGTGGCCACCTCCTTCTCTTGGCTCCTGTGTCCGGTAAACGCCATTTACAGTGACATCTAGGAAGCTGCCCCGTTGGCTGCTTCAGAGAGCAACACAAGAGCATTACAAGCAGCCTCAATTTATTGTGTCCCACAGAAACTGCATTTGTACAAACCCAGGGTTTGTGGCAACCCCTCCCCAAGCAGTCTCCTGGCGATGTTTCCCTAACAGCCTGTCACTCTGTCCCATTAGGGTAATCTTTGCAGTACCTCAGACTTTTTGTTATTATTATGTCTGTTAGGGTGATCTGTGATCAGTGATCATTGATGTGACATTGTCATTACTTGGGGGCACCACGAAGCACTTGCATACGAGACAATGACCTTAACCTACGAGGGTCCTGTGGGTCACTCCTAGCCTCTCACCTGCTTCTCAGACCAGTTTATTCTGAGACGCAACAATTTGGAAATATTGAAATTGGGACAACTGTATACCCTATGGTACCTCTAGGTGTTCCAGCGAAAGGTAGAGAATCAAAAGCTGGAAATGACTAAGCTCAGGGAGGAAGACAGGTGGGAGGAAGACAGGTAGAAAGCGAAGACAGGCCAAATGGGAGGCCACTCAGCCCAGGAGTGACCTCAGTGGCTGCAGGGTAAACGGCCTGATGCAGCTTTTTACACCACTAGCTTTGGGGCTATCACCTGTGCTTTGATCGTGTTGATGCAGAAGGCACGTGGGAGCGTGGGTGTGGCGCGCGCCTGCCTGATGGTGGCCACCTGGAGTACGGAGTGGGCATGCGCAGGTGAGCTTAGAGATGGCGGCACTCAGAGGCCGGGCGATGGCTCCGGCTGGAGGCTACAGGAGGACTTAAGGATGCAGAGACAACGCCAGGGAGAGTCCAGAGGAAAAGTGTAAAGACACGGGAGCCTCTGGCTGGGCCACCTGCTTGCCTCCCAGCCCCCTGCCCGCCCCTGCCTCCCTCTCGGCCTGCCTGTGCCGCGGTTCCCTGAGCGCATTAAAGCCCGAGAAGTCTACAGAAGGCTCCTGAACTCGCCTTTACCCTTCTTCCTGATCGCTGGTGAACCTGCCCTGTGCTTCTGGCACAACAGTGACCAATGCAAAAGAAAAGGTCTTGGAGGACACTAAAAGGGCCAATCCAGTGAACGCATGAATGACAGACAGCAGAACAGCCTTGCTGCTCTTGACAGTTCTCTGCGTCTGGGTCAGCGCGTCCAGTCTCCGCATTCCCTTCAGCTTATGGTGATGCTCTGGAACTGAACCCCCACCGTGCCCAGTCTCGTCTGTGTCTTACTTTGAATGTCTCTGGACACAAAGATAGAATCTACTGAAGGAAACATCACAAAGACCATGACTTCTATGCTGGGAATATAAGTTTATTAGAAAACAGACATCATGTCTAGGAGCCAGCCAGGGGTCCTGGAAGGACCCGGCGTTCTTCAGCAGTAGCTGGACACCTGGGCATTTCGCTGAAGCTGGGGACGGACGTCAGCTTGTCTTGAGAAGGTAGGAGCTACATATGATTAGAGTCATTGTCTAAAAACATGTTTTTCTCTGAGTCTGAGCGCTCAGGCTCGGCGCTCCGGCCTGGGCTGTCGGGTTTCAGCAGGAGCAGCAGGGCGACGTCCTGCAGGTGGTGCGGCAGGGCGCAGGCTGGCAGCAGGGCGGGCGGCAGCAGGGCGCCTGCACCAGGATGGGCTGGCAGCAGGTGGACGCCCAGCAGCAGGGCCGGCACACCACGGCCGTGCAGGACGTGGGGCAGCAGGCGATGGGGCGGCAGCAGCCCTCCTGCAGGCCGCAAGGGTCGCAGCACACGGGGCGGCGGCAGGGCTCGCAGATGGGGCGCGTGCAGTGGGGCACGCAGGTCACGGGGCGGCACACGGTGGTCTGGCAGGACACGGGGCGGCAGCAGCAGGGGTCGCGGCAGCAGCAGGGCTGGCAGCAGGGCTGGCAGCAGCTCGGGGCGGAGCAGGCGGAGCCGCAGCAGGAGCCGGTCATGGCGGAGGCGGGGCTGGTGGGTGGGGCTGGTGGCTGAAGTGGGGTGTGCAGGTGTGACTGTCTCCCCTGCCTGAGGGGCCCTTTATATACCCTGGGCAGGTGCTGCGGCCCGCGGACACGTGGTCATTTCCTTGTTTCTGTTTATTTCTGAAATGACCCTGGCAGGTTAGTGAGTGTTGGAGGAGACATCTTTTTAGAGGCCCAGAACTCATAAAAGAGCATTTGTTTTCCTTCTTTAATAGAGTCTTATTACATGTTGGTATTTATGGTTCAAATATGAACTTAATGACTCCACCTTCAAAGTCTCCAATTATCTCTGAAATCCAGGGATGCTTTTGCCAGCTGATGTTTGGTGAGCCCAGGGTAGCATCATGCTGAGGTTACCTCCTAACAGTGGGCCTATGTCCCCACGTGGGAAGGAGCCCTCCTGGGCACATTATCATGACAGGAATCTTTTAAAAGTCATGGTTTGTAATAAAAGAAGAATTTTCTAGACTACTGTTTGGAATTACAAGAATGCATCTCTGTAGGGCTTTGTCATCAGCGCATGTTGTCCCATTTTTGTTGTAAAACACATATAAACAAATTTGCTATCTTAACCGGACTTTGGTTTCCATTTCAATGGCATTAAGTGCATCCCTGTTGTGGAACCATCCAATACTCCAACTCCAGGCACTCTTCATCTTACAAAACTGAAACTGTCTCATCAAACAATAATTTCCCAGTTCTCCTTTCTTCAGCCTGGGGCTGCCACCCACTGCTCTCCAATATTGCAAATTTGGCTTTTCCCCAGTCTTGGTTACTTGCTCATTTTTTCCATAGTTAAATCTGTTCAACTATAGACAGGTGATTTGCATTATTTTTAACCTTCATGGCAATGCCATGTCCTTCACCATGTCTCAAGCATTCTGCTGACACGGTTGTGTTAATTAATCTGTCAGAATAGTCCTATGGAGTGGGTATTGTTATCATTCTCATTTCACATGTAAGAAAACCAGAAAAGTGACTCGCCTGAGGTCACACACCTACCTGCTGGTGTTGGAGGCAACGCTAATTCCAGCAACATCTACGGGGCTATTATTTATAAGCTGCAGAAACATAAGAAAAGGAGCTGCAGGGCCCATATGCCCTATCCGTAAGAACTGTCTGCTTTGTCTAGGAATTTTAGCAGTGAATCGTTTTTAAGATGTAGCTTTCTGTCTCTCTGAAGGTTTGGCTCTAGGACCCCTGGGTATATCAAAACCTGCAGACACTCTATAGATAAAACGGTATCATCTCTGTCTGTACCCTGTGCTGTGTGACTGTTACACTCATGCAGGTCACGCATAGTCAATGGAGTGTAAAATTGAGGGAAGTCATGGTTGGTTGTATTGCTTAGGGAATAATGACCAGTTTAAAATGTCTGTTCAGCTGGGTTGCAACCACCATATGCCTCACTACTTCACATGTATTTTGGATTCGATGTTGCTTGATTTGGGGACACAGAGCCCTCTCACTCAAAGGACTGAGAATAGCTGTCTTGAGAAATGGCTAGTTATTAGAGTCCTTCGAAAGACTTGTTTCTCCTTTATATGCTCAGAAATTGGAAGCATTATCTCCCTTACAGCTTTCTCAAAACCCCAAAGCATGCCCCTTGGAGATCATGTCAAATTTGGGTATAGCTGAGTGGGCGGAAGGCATCAGTGTCACTGGGCAAAGGCCACTGTGTTCCCTGGCAAAGGTACCTCTGAGCCTGCGCTGCCATCACTTACCTCACCATTGCGTCAAATCACCTCTCTGTGAGTCTCTCCAAGCTTATAGAACGAACTGTGACTTTCAGTTGTTTCAAACTGCCAGGGCCTGTGGGAAATCACACCCCTAGGTCATTCTGTAGCCTTTGTATTTGGTTGGTTCCCATTTTTTTTCTTTATAATTTAGTCTGTTTTGGACCTGTCACCAAAGGTTCCATTTTAAAACTTCTTTCTCCTGTTCTGCTGGAGGAGTTCCTTGAAGCTTACCCAGACCTGCCCCAGCCACTGTGGCTGCCCAGGGCATGGTGTTCCTGTGGAAATGACCATGGTCCAATACAAGCAACAATTGGGAGACAACAAGCCGCTCTAGGGCTGAGAAGATACAGCAAGAAGAGGAAGTCTCTAGAAGGCTGATAAGGAACATTCTGAGAGGGGAAAAACTGATGTAGTTAGTGAATTTTTAAAAAGTGGTGATCCGGTGGAATACTATGCAGCCATCAATAAAGACAAACTGATGCCATATGCAGCAACATGGATGGAGCTGGAAGGAATTATGCTAAGTGAACCAGTCAGAAGGAAAATGAGAAATGTAGAGAGGTCTCACTTATCTGTGGACTATAGAGAGACTGAATAAAAGGTCAGGAAAAAGACAAAACTTACAAACTAAGCACACGCCTGAGACTTGCAGGGGCAAGAGGGGAGATGGTGGATGGAGGGAAGAGCACAGGGGACTATGGCAATGGATCATGGGTGTGGTGGTGGTGGGAGAACTTCCAGGACTACACCTGAGGGGAGAAACCAATTACTGTGCAAAAATGAATAATGTAAGAAAATAAATTCAAAATAAAAAAGTAAAAAGTGGCGATAAAGAACATGTAGAAAGAAATTCAACCTTTGAGCCTCTCGATGGGTCAATCATCAAACCCTTGATAAAGAAGAAACTGTGTGCACATGCTGACTGACAGGGTGGAGGATTGGAATATAATGGAAATTCTTGTTGAGATAATTTTAACATAACCAAGGAAAATACTTTCACGAGGTGGCTCTGTGTTGTAAGAACATACTGTCCAACTGAGGAAATCGTTGGGAGTCAGATGTAGTGACCCTTCTTCAGTCCCTTACAAATTATTAATTCAAGCATTCAACAAATAACTTCTGATGGTGTTCTCCCAAAGGTTGGCAGGCCAGTGGAACTGAGCAGGGGACTGAGCCTGTTTTGGTTCAGACTTTCACAGGACTTCTCTGGCCTGACTCCTACTGGGTGGATCTGCCCAGGCAGACAGATCCCCCCAAACTCTATTTGATCAGATGCTGGGAACTCAGCACACTAAGTTAATGTCAGTGATAAGTTCTTGGAAACTGAGACTTTCAGCCAAACATGGATGGCAAATCCAACTCCTTCATAGGCTAGTAGAAACAAGAGTTAAGGTTCTGCATCACCAAACGTCTAAATTAAGACCCCAAACGTGTTTAATATTGATCAATACTTGAGTGAATAATTGTATTCACTCATTTTCTACTCCACTTATTTCAGTTCAGGTCCCTAATGCCAGGGTCTCTCCGACAGCTCTGGATGCAAGGTGGCCCAACCCCTTCCATTACAGAGCACTCCCACCCCATTAGGGTGGGGCAAGGATGACGCATCAGTGAACCCACAGTGCCGGTCTTCTGGATGAGGGAGGAAAGCAGAGGACAAGCAAACCAGCGCATACCCAAGCCCTGATAGACACTGATCTTCCCTCGTTAATATTTGAACAAAATGACATTGAGTGACAGAGTGTGGCTCCAGGAAGACAATAGTGGTTACTTCGGGTAGCTTCCAGAACAGCCTACAGGAGTACAGCAACTAAAGTGTATGCGGTGGGGTTAACATGGCAGCATTTTGACTGCCAGCGTTGTTGCAATGGAAACCTCACTTGCCATTACATGAGCACGGCCCCAGCAAGCTCCCTCGCTCCCTGTCTCTCAGCAGCCGTGACTCCACTGGTTTCAGACTTCATTGTGGTGATGCTGGAGGGAGCCCAAGGAAGATGGGATGGTGGTGGCCGAAGCACAGGTCTTTGTGGTGAGATTCCCCTGTGCCAACTGATGTCAATCACACCAGTTTCTCAAATAGGGAACAAAGGAGCTTCTGATTTAAGGCTCCTTCCTCTCATCACCTCACACTACTGGATGTGTGTGGATTCAGCGTGTGGACAGACCACGAGCCAAGCTCCTGACCAGAGAGACCTGCTATAGTCTGTTCAGTTCCTCAGTATGACTGCAAACCTGGGGCTTGAGCTCTGAGGGATTTTTTCTGAAAAGTCTAAAGTATTCGAACAGCTATTAAAATTACCTCTACAGCTCAAAAAGTGGCCCAAGGAAGTCCTTCTTCCTGCGGTTCTAATTTTTACTCCCACAGTATCAGCTCAAAATAAATGTATAAAGATTCATAAGCAAGAAAGAGAAACACATTTGCTTCTGAAAGGTAACATTTTATTATTTTACCACTCAAAACCAGAGCATACATGTACTATTAACCTGGAAAAAGATCGCATCAGAAAACCTTGAAATAGCAGAGAAACGAGGATGAATCAGCAGACCTAGCTCCAGTAAAAGGGAACTTTGATCTATGTTTACTCATTTTTTACAAGCTAGGAATGCAACTATGAGGCTGGGATTTTCCTAAAGATTATCAAAGGGGTTCAAGATTAGCATAATTAGGTGGGGGGAATAGGTAGACAGTTATTTTTGAGCTAGTTACTGAAGAGCGGATAGGTCGCAAAGGTGGAATCTCTCATCTGATAGGACAGGGAGAAAGTGTCTGTCCATTTTAGTACACCTGGCACCTGAATTCCTTGCAGGGCGAGTCAGTTCAGGGAGATGCTAGCGTCATCGTCTAAAAACAACCTGCTTTTCTCTGGCTTCATTAAAGGCTGCGCATGCGCTCAGGCTCGGCGCTCCGGCCTGGGCTGTCGGGTTTCAGCAGGAGCAGCAGGGCGACGTCCTGCAGGTGGTGCGGCAGGGCGCAGGCTGGCAGCAGGGCGGGCGGCAGCAGGGCGCCTGCACCAGGATGGGCTGGCAGCAGGTGGACGCCCAGCAGCAGGGCCGGCACACCACGGCCGTGCAGGACGTGGGGCAGCAGGCGATGGGGCGGCAGCAGCCCTCCTGCAGGCCGCAAGGGTCGCAGCACACGGGGCGGCGGCAGGGCTCGCAGATGGGGCGCGTGCAGTGGGGCACGCAGGTCACGGGGCGGCACACGGTGGTCTGGCAGGACACGGGGCGGCAGCAGCAGGGGTCGCG